AAACATCATGATGGATGGAGAAAAGAGTGAAATTGTCAACAATTTAATTTTACTTGGATCCCCAATCAACATCCATGGTAGCAGCAGACAAAAAGCCAAAAGACCTTTTGCATTGGGAAAATCTGCTGTCAAGGAACTCTTTAAAGTGCTAAAAAGCAAGAATGTAAGTTTAAAGACTAAGGTGTGCCTAATCCAAGCCATGGTATTTTCAATTGTTTCCAATGCATCCGAAAGCTGGACAATGAATAAAGAAGATTGATCAAGAATAATGCCCGTCAATTGTGGTGCTGACAGAGCATTAAATAACTCATGAAGAACAAACAAATCTTGCTTGGAGGAAGTGCAACCAGAATGATCCATAGAGGCAAGTATCTGTGAAAGTTCGTTTCACTTTTTCTGGCTATCTTGTTAGGAGTTGTCAGTATTTGGAAAAAGAGATCATGCTGGGAAAGGCAGGAGAAGTTGTGAAAGAGAAGAAGATGGATGGGCACAGTGACAACAACAGCAGACTTGAGCTGATGGGGATTGTGAAGATGCACAGCATAAGGCCAGATTCAGATCTTGTGTTGTTGCCGTATGAGTTGTAGTGGACGCAGAAGAACCTAATAACCACCACCACCTGTAAGTTTGTGGTTGTAAACCCATTTTAGGAACGGGTTGTTCTGTTATATAAATGTGATAAAATAAACGAAAATCTCTAACAAAATACAAAAAGAGTAGGTTAAAGAAGCAGGGATGGGGAAAGATAGAACTTCTAGACGAAGAAGAACGGCCAGTCACTGCTGAAATAACAGTCCTCTGAAAACTCTATGAACAGTAGCCTAAAAGTTCAAATTGAAGCAGAAGAAAATGAAGTTCATGAGAGCCAAAATAAAACTCTAAACTTATCCCATCTGAACTTGGAAAGTATCTCAAAAACAGATTTGAAGCAATGAACATTAATGATGGGAGACAAGAGGAGTTGTGGGATAACATCAAATAAGAAGATATCAAAAGGTCATTAAAAACACAGAAAAAGAAGAAAACATCAATACTGACAAAAGAGAGTTTTGAACTTGATCTTAAACATAGAGAAGCTAAAGTAGAAAGAAAAAATAAGAGAACTGAAAATTTCAAAGGGCAGCTGAAGAAGACAAAGTAGTATGTGAAAATGGGAAAGACCTAAAGCTAGAAAACCAAAATGGAAGAACATATTTAGGACTCTTCAAATTAAATGAACTGAAGAAAAGTTCAAGTTTAGAGTTGAAAAAAATTGCACAACACAAGAAGCATCAAAAGAAGATGGAAGGAATAATTTAAAAAACAAACAAAAACAAAAAACTGGTCAAGACTCAATCATTTCACTAAGACGGTTATTACCAAGAATCAGCGGTACTAGAGGAAGGGATATCAACCTTGATGTCGGACGGAGACTGAATGAAAGCAGAGACTACCAGAAAGATGCTTATTTATGGTTTATAGATTACACATAGGTATTTAACTGCGCAGATCACAATGCATTACAGATAACACTGAGAAGGAGAACTTCAGAATACTTTGTTGGGCTCATGCAGAGCCTATACATAGATCAAGAAGCAGTCACTGAAATAGAATAAGGGAACAGTGCCTAGTTCAAAATTGAGAAGGGTGTGCATCATAGTTGTATCCACTTAGCCAACCTATTCAAGCTGTATGCTGGATACAGAATCCAAAAAGATAGTCTATATGATGGAGAATAAGGAAAAGTTTGGAAGAGGACTTATCAACAACCTCCCATACAAAGATGATATAATTTTCCTTATTGGAAATAAAGCCTTGAAGCACCTGTAGAAGATCAAAGTCAGCCTTCTGCATGAATCATATCTCAGCATCAAGAAAACAAAAATCCTCCTAAATGCACTAATAGGCAGCACCTCGATAAATGGTGGGAAGATTAAAATTGTTAAGAGTTTCATTTCATTTCACCTGGTTCCAGAGTCAACACCCATGAACAAAGTAGTCAAGAAAGCAAAAGACATGCTGCACTCAGCAAATCTGCTATCAAAACCCACTCGAACTTCTAGAGTAAGGATGTTAGTTTAAAGATTAAAGGCACACCTGACTCAAGCCATCATATACATATAAAATTTGGACAATGAAAAAAGAAGCTTGAAGAAAAACTGAAAACTTTGAATTGTGCTGTTGGTGAGAGTATTGAAAATCCCATGGACCGCCAAAAGAATAAACACATCCACAATGCAAGAATTATAAGAGACATTGTCTCACATATTTTAGACATGTTTCCTGGAGGAAACAGTCCTTGGAAAAAGACATTATGCTTGGAAGAGAGGAGCATCAGCTAAGCAGAGGAAGTTCCTCATCAAAGTGGGTGTAGAAAGTGACAACTGGTTTAGGTATACAAGAAATTGGGAGAATAGTACAGGATTGGGAAAGGTTTTGATTGGTTGTACACAGGGTCACTATTAATTCTAGCCATTGTGGTGTCACTCAACAACATTTACAAAGGTATTTATAAGTTATGTATTGTGCTAACCTAATGAAATTTGTCCCACTTTATACATAAAAAACTTTAGGCTTGAACAGATTCCTTTACTTGATAATGAACACCTAACATGTTGTTGTTTTTGTTATGTGCCATCGAGTCATTTGCGACTCATAGCAACCCTATGTACAAGAGCCCTAAACACCGTTCTATCCTGCGCCAACCTCACTGTCTCAAACACATTCATTCCCATCATTCCACTCACTGAATCGATCCATCTCATCGAGGGTCTTCCTCTCCTGCGCCGTCCCTCCACTCTTCCAAACATGATGTCCCTCTCCAAGGACCAGTCCCTCCTTGCAACATGCCCAAAGTATGTCAGACGAAGCTTCAGAATCCTTGACTCCAAGGAACATTCTGGCTTCACCCTCTCCAGGACAAACCTGTTTGTTCTCCTAGCAGTCCATGGTATATTCAACACTCTCCTCCAGCACCTAACATAGGCAGAGCTTATACTCGAGTTCAGTTCTGTCACAGCAAAAGTCCATATTCTTAAATACCATCATATATAAACCTCACTATAAATCTTTTAATAGAGAACACATCAATTATGAATACCCATAAACAAAAAAAATCTAAGTATATAAAATACTAATCTCAATTTTAAAACTCTTACCATACTCATTATTCCAAAACGCAAATTTTCCTTTAATAGTACTTAAAATAGTAATATACTCAATATTCAAAAAGAGAAAATTATGGATTTTAAGATCATCAAAATGAAATATATTATAATCATATAATATCATAATGATGAAATAATCCAACATTACCAAGAATAATTTTCTATTCTACGTTTCACTGGCTTTTATAAAATGAAAACAGAAAATCTGCTTTCTCCATGTAATGTTTCCCAAACCCTGTATTTTCTCTTTTATACCACTATAAAAAAATTACATGGTGTCTATCTCTAGACTAAGGGGTCCCCAAAGTCTCAAGTCATATAGCCCAGTGGTAAAGTGAGATTCAAAGCAAGCACCAGTCCCAATACTTCCCTTGCATTTCAGAGAGTTGTCTTTATCACCTTCTGAAAGACACTCTGGAAACTCATGACTAAACTAGAGCGTCTCAAATGTTATGTCTACACATGACTAGATATCATATTTTCAATGCAGGTTCTGCTTCAGTACATTGAACAACCAGAATTTAAAAGCCCAATGTTGAGTCAAACTGACACTGCTATTTCCAAATTGTTGTTGTTAAGTGCTGTCGAATCGTTAGGTGACTCACAGCGACTCTCTGAACGAAAGACCTGAACACTTGTATAACTTCTGTCGCTTCTCCAAGTTCATAGTTTCTGGAGGCAAGCTATTAACAGAAGTGGATGCCACTCCTGCTTCCAAGCTTGTTTTAATCAGGGAGCTCCACCAAACACGGTCCACCATGGGTAACCATTATCACATTTGACACATCAGTGTCACAGTGTTTGGTATTACAACAACCACGAGTCACCTCTGTACAGCAAGTGGACAGACCAGGGCTATACCATTTAGAAGAATGCTTGACCAAAGACAATTAAAACCAGGCCTGAAGTCTGCAGATTAAAATCACCCAACTTTGTCTTGGTAGCGTAACTTTCTATCTACTAGGCCAGAGCTCTCACTTAACTATTTCTAAGAGGGGGGAGGAGAATAGCCAATTCTAAAACCAATTTTCTATTGCCATGAAAATAGTTGGGAAATTACACTTTCCAAACAACAGTTATCATATGGATAAGCAAAGAGAGAAAAAAACAACAAACAACAAAAACCCAAAGAACAAATATGAACAAAACCCACTGAAACTGATGAGACTGATTCAGAGCTGACTGTCCAGTGAGTTTTCAGGAGGCTATCCACTGCACAGGAGGAGACTGCCCATCTTTCTCCTCCAGAGCCATTGGTAGTGGCCTTGTCTTAGAGTCAGGAGCACAAATTAACATGGACTATGTCATCAGAGCTCCCTTAGCTCAACTGAGAGTAGTAAAAGCAACACTCAGTCTGTTCTTTTATATTCATTCTATCACAGAAAGTGTAAGTTAATGGAAACTAAAAACAGGGGGATGGGGAGGAAGACCAAGAATAAAATGAATTTTAAAACACATGAGTTTTAATCTGTGACCGAAAGATGAAATTAGAAGGCTAGAAACTTGTGGTTATTTTGTTATAACTTCACATTTTATGTTTATGCTAAGAAAATCATAGTGAGCTGATTTCTTGGTTATATTTTCTTTCTTAGTGTTTAAGTAAGTGAGAAGCCAACATATCAAATAAAATATATTATTTCCAAGTTTTATCTTAAATTTATGCAGGTTTAAATGCTTCCAAATTGCTTACATGTGCAGGATTTTTACACTTGAAATCTGGGACAACTCAGAGTATAAGCAAAAACACTCCAGTACTACAGGCACTAGGACAATTCACGATGACTCTTCAATAATATCCAGCAGTAAAATACGCCCCGTGAAAATGAACAGCTTGTACACATTTCAGTTATTTACCTTGTCAATCATTTTTCTCGCTTCCACTTCCTCACTGTTGGGGTTCTCTAACTCAATGGTGTAAGTACCCTTGTCACTTTGGTCATCATCATTCTCCTTTTCAGAAGTAGCAGAAGCAGCTTGGTTTTTTAACATTTTATCCATCTCCTGGCTCGGTCTGTGCCCAAGACTCCCTGAACTTCTGAATAGTGCAGTCTGTAGGAAGGGTATTGACACCGATGGCTCCTCTGATTTCTGTTTTAACAATTTCCCATGTGGAACACCATGCCCCCCTCTGTGATGCGCAGAGCTAGTCTGTAAAGACAAAGAAACCACTTTGGCATCTATTGGTGGAGAGTTTGTTTTTCAAGTTTGTATGTGGTGTCGAATGAGTAACTTCCTAAAATAAGATTTCCACAGTCTGAGTAAAAGAATATGAGACTCTCTTTTTCTGGGAGGCCTTCAGTAAAGAACACAATCATAAAAGCAAAGCAACTTACAACAGCCAGGTCCTGATGCTTTTCCGTCGACTGAGACTTCTGCAGCTTTTTATGCTCTGAATGGTGGCGCCGCAAATGTTCCTCAAGAGTTGCTCGTTTGCTACAGCGTCTGTGGGCTCCAGCATTCTCTGAATCACTTTGTGTGCCATCATCATGTTTATTTCCTGGGTGGACAGTGACAGCACACACATACACAAAAAAAATCACATAATAGAAAAGGGGGGACATTTTCATGTAGAAAATTAGAAGCAAAACAAAAATGCTATTGATCCTGCCCTTCTCTCCCTTTTCCATCCAGAGTCACAGGATCGTTTTAGTAACATGCTCTGCACACTCAATTGCAAATGCTTTCATTAAAACTTATTAACCAACAATGAGGTTCTTTATAAACAACTGAATAGGGCTGCCTTTCTCCAAATTTTAACTTTAAAATGCTCATCAATGCCTTGACGGATAAGAAATGCTGTATCATCTGAGATAGTTGGTTTTGTAACTTTAACATTTACCCAACTACAAACTTTGCCTTATTATAAACAATCAAAGCTCTAGCATTAGAGAAAGATAGCAAAAAATTGATTGCACTAAAATGTTTATCATCACACAATAAAGGAGATTCCAGATACCGTAAAATGCAACAAATTTTAACTTTGAACAATATTTCCAAAAGTATATATTTTTCTTTTTTAATAAACATTCAAATATTAATTCATCAATTACAAATGTCTCTAAAAGTACGAAAATGTTTAAAATTTGCTTTTTTGTGCTATAAACTGTGATAGATTCCAAGCTGAATAATGCAAGCTACAAGGCCCATCAAAGAAGAGGGCACTCTATGAAATAATAAAAAGGTAAGCACCTACTTAGCAAGTGGCATGATACTAAATAAAACAAAATAACAAGCCCAAAGTCCATGGACTAAATAACACACCGTCAGCTTCGAATACAGCTGTTTTTTGAACATCAGCTTCTTAACTGAGGTTTTTCTATATCATAAATGATAAAAATCATTAAATAGTTATCCTTTGTAATTATTCCTAAAGATGATTAGATGTGAAACTTCATGAAAACAATTTTCTTTTAGAAATGATTTAGAATACTCATTACCTAATTAGCTTCATTAAAAGAAACAATCAAATGATAATTATACTATTAGATTATGTTATTAGAAAGCCATGATCATTCTGTACATGTTTAGATTGTATAACATATCTGGGATTAAGTGATGGCTTCTTTAGCAGCTTCAAATTAGTTTGGACAACTTTGTACATTCTAAGGCTAAGCCTCATTTTTTTCTTTCCTTGAGCTATAAATTTTAATCTGTGCACCTACAAAGCAGTGTGGCACTAAACAAGACAATGATTTCAGCTGAAATACTCAGGGTGTGTGGGTCTAGGAGGGAAAAAATAAATTTTCATTTCACCTTCATGATTTGTTTTTAGTGATCCAGAGTTTTCCAACTCTAAATGATCTGATATAGCATGATAATGGGGAGAGAAGTGTGGAGAGAATGAGCCAAGACACTCAGAAAAAAGGAAGGTGTGGACACAACACAAAGGGTGGTGTTCTGGAAACATCTGAAAACTCAGCAAGGGAAACAAAGCAATGGAAGCTGGGGTAGGACAGTAAATCTGAAAATGTTTCTTCAAATGAGTAAACCATTCCAAATGTAATCTGAAAAGAAGAGAAGAGATGTGTAATAAATGGAATCCCTGCCTCTGGGAATTAAGCTAGAAACCATTAAGAGCAAATGGCAAGCAAAACACAAAAGCACTACTAGTTCAAAAGTTATATGAATTTAAAACATTTCTTTTACAATTTCACTGAAGTACTGGCTCTACTGGAAGATTATTCTGTTACATGAGACCTGAAAAACACCTCCAATATTGCTTTAACTATAGTTTCTGTAAAAATGTAAGTGATGGCATTTAATAGAAAATTGTAATGTTCCATAATAATATACACAAGCATACAAAAAAGTTTTAAAGAAAATACCATGTTTACAGATTCAAATTCTTGTAGTAACATACAATATATGATATTTACACTGGCTTAGGCCTCTTTTAGTATCTTACCAATTACTGTCTTAAAAAAACTTCTCTCAGATACAACCCTTTCTTTTTTAACTTGGAAAAAGTATTTCTCAGTGTTAGACAAGAAAATTGATAAAATTTGTCATTTTCTGTTCCCACTTGACAAAAAACTCACCAGAAAACATCTCTTACTGAGTGTCTGTTGGTTTCCACCCACTCCCACCCCCATTTACTGACCAAGTCTAAAATGCTGCAGTACATTTGGTGAGGGGATTTCTAGAGTAGGATAGCTACATCAGGTCAGCTGTTCATGCTGTCAGTTGCTACTGAGTCGACTGCGACTCCACGTCAGTAGCTGCAGCTGTGACTCTCCTATAAGGACAAAGTGTACGGGCTTTGTGAAAATGACTGTCCTCATGGTCCAAAGCATGTGTATGGCACTCTTGCAGGAGCAAGTTTTATTGTTTTTGTTTTATTTTCAAGTTTCTGACTAATCTACTACAACTGCTAAGAATCGACATATTATAAAATTACTACTAACAACAGTTAAAATATTTAAAGAGTTTAGTTATGGTGGGTATGTTCTGACATCCGAAATTGTGGAAAATCTTTATTTGCTGATGGCCAGTCTGACTTATAGAAAAAGTCAAATGTCTCTTTATGTTTATAAATATATTTGGAGAGACAAAAGGATCTATCTTGGACTAAAAATGAGTTCTATCCATAAAGGAACTTCCTTGGATGGTCTGTAAGAGCCTCTGAAAGGCAAATTCTAAAGAAAGATTCTAAATCAACTTCAAGCACTGGCAAAATACTAGCCTATATGTTTACCTATAGATAAACAGTTTTGAAAGCTAATAGTAATTTTTTGTGTGTAATTCTTTTAGTATTTTAAAGTGTAAAATCACACACACACACATTGTGCATGTAGGCATTAATCTCTCAATCTGGAATTAGTCTAAGTAATAAACAGGACCCTGTTCCAGGACAGAGTATCTTAAAATCATTACTATAATGGCTCGTACTGAAAATACAGTTAAACTCATGAAATCCAGAACTTGTGTAAGGTGGGAACCTATCAGAAAAGGAAAACTCAAAACATTTTCCACTAAAAATGAGGGGGAAAAAAAACAACCAAAACATTAAGATTACACCCAGTCAAAGATGGGGGAAAATGCAAACCCTAGAAAAACCAGCAAGTTCTGGCTTTCCCAGGTCTCACTCTAACTCTAACACATTAAGTGGAATTTGTAGGTAAGACAGACATGCGCACTTGCTGCTTATTCAGTATCATTTGATGCAAGAAAAGGCTCAAAACCTTTTCAATGATTTAAAAGCTGAATGTGACTGCGAGTGTTGGATGCACTGTCTGCTAACAAACAATTGGGAGCTCTGGTGGCTTAGTGGTAAGAAGCGGTGCTGCCACAGCAATCTCAAAGGTATGTGGGTTCAAATCCAGCAGCAGCTTCGTGGGAGAAAGATGAGCAATCTCCTGTGCAATTTAATGCTTCCAAAAAACTAGCCAGAGGGCCAGCTGTGGGTTGGTCCCAACTCTATGGTACACAACAACATTTGCAAAGGGTAATTTGGTATAAGAAAGAGTGACTTAAAAAAGACTCCTGCCTCATATATTATATTGTGGTTTTACTATTCTTTATTAAGTTTCTAAAAACAATAATTTTAAAAACTGGTAGTTTTTATTTGTGTACTTTAACCTAGACACACATATATGTAGGTCTCAAATTACATAACAGTGCATTGTTGTTGTTGCTAAGTGCCATCAAGTCGTTAGGTGACTGACTAATAGTGACCCTATAAACGGAAGACCTGAACACTTGTATAACTTTCATTATTTCTTCAAGTTCATCGGGTTTTCAGAGGCAAGCTATTTTGGAAGTGGATGCCACTCCTGCTTCCACGCTTGTTTTAACTGGGGAAACTCCACCAAACACTGTCCGCCATAGGTAACCATTATTGCATTCGACACATACAACAGTATCACAGTGTTTAGCATCAAAGCAACCACTAGTTACCTCTGTACAGCAAATGGACAGACCAGTGCTATATAACTTAGAAGAAAAAACAAATAAAACTAGGCTTGAGGGCAGCTGATTAAAATCACAGATTAAAAATCGCAGATTAAGATAATACTATTAGTAGAATTAAAAGATCATTTGTTGCGGCGACCCCATGTGACAAATCCGAATGCCCTATAGCATTTTCTTGGTTAAAACCATTGACAGTAGATTGCTGGGCTTTCAAATGCATGTGGTAAAATAGTAAAAAGCCCCAACAAAGAATTACTTTATCATAGTACCTCAGTATCATGAAACGTCTTAAAAGCAAATCAGAAATAAGCACAAGAATACCAAGTCCTCATAACTTGATCAGAATCCAAGGATATAAATTATTGGTTAAACATAGTGCATCTCATCATGGATGTGATGTTATTCACTGTTTAAATTACTGGCTATGTAACACATACACAAGTTCCAGGTGAGCTCTTAATGATTTTGGATAATACTCTGACCTGAAAAGCTTTTAAGCATTATCTCCTTAAATAGCAATAAAATGTTCCGATGCAATAACAATTCTTTCACAACCATTTCCTTAAAAAATGTAAATGAATGGACTGAGAAATTATGGTACATTCACAGAATGGAATACTACGCAGCACTGAAAGGAGCAATGATTTTGTAAATTATTACCTAACTTGGGACTGGAGAGCATTTTGCTGAGTGAACTAACTCAGTCCAACAAGGACAAACGTTGAATAAAACCATTATAGTAGAATGAGTATAAGGATCTAAGGTGGTAGGGGGAGAGAGTGGAAGCAGAGGGATGAGGATGTGCAGGAAGAGGGGGAATTAATCATGGACTTGTACAATTTGATGGGTGGGGGGTGAGGGAAAGCTGAAGAATTTGTTCTGGAAAACAATGTATTCAAATTTTGTAAATAAACTAGTACAATAAATTTTTTTATAAAAAAAAATTGTAGATACTGACATTTTACTGCCAGTATCATGAAAAAGAATGAAATACATCTTTTCCTTAAATGAAGAGAATGACAGGAATTATCTTCTAGGGCATTCCACTAATGAACTAAAATAAAACTTGTATTTAGATGGGGAAAAAGAAAGATTTTTTTTTTTTTTAAAAAAGAAAGATTTAATTTTATACATATATTACACACAAAAACAATCCTAGGTTTGGCAAGAAAATGAAGAAAAGCTATTTGGAATAGTAAGCTGGACATGAACACAATATAGCATACGTTTAGCTTTAAAATTAAATTTAAGACTTTGAAAAAGCATGAATAGATAGTTTGATAATTGTGAAGACTAAAATTTCTGTATGTTTAAATAGAAGTTCTCAAATGATCAATTCACTTTACCTTTCAACCTTTTCAAGTAAACTGGAACATCACTTTTAATACTTTTTGAATCCACTTCTGTTCTTTCCCACATCATCTGAGGAGGGTTGTTCTGAGCTAGCCAGTCCGCTACTTTGTTTTCTGGTGCCATCATTCCTGTGTGAATCCCCAGCAGGTCTTGAGTTCCAGGAGAGGACTTCTTTGATTTGTGGCGCTGGTCAGAAGTGAATTTTGTCACATGGTCTCTAATAGTCACCTTTCCTGGGGTACTGTCATCAAATTCAATGGTAAAGGAAGCATGCCCTGCACCTGCTGTGTGGGGACTTGGTGTATCTTTTGTTGGGATTTCATGAATAGTGTTCTCTGTAATTTGTGATGGTTGCTGGAATTCTTTTGTGGGAATTTCAAAATAACTTGGTTCCCTACAGAAAGGAAAAAGCACTTCTTCATTTGCAGCTGCAGATTGTTCCTCAACTTGCTTGGAATCTAGGCTGCACCCTAATGAGAAAAATAAGAAAAAATTCAAAGTATTTGGAAGCTTCTGTCACTTGAGGAAGGTCCAGTAAAGGCCATTTTTATTACTCCATGAGAATCAGAAGGCAGATCACAGTATGGATGAAAAATAATGACATTTTTATCAGAGATTATATGCCATAGAGAAGAATCTTGATTATAAACAGTATGCTCAAGTTACCAACAGAAGATGCAAGTTAAGCTGTAGCAATGAAAAAAGGATAGCAAAGCAGGTAAGAGATGGTTCTTGCATAGTTACATTCATTTCTTTTCCAACCTGGATTTAGAAATCAAACACAAAAGAACTGAAATTAAAGGCAGAGAGTGAGCCATGATCAGTGCATACAAAGAGAATGATAGAAGCAGCATGAATAGTCTATCAAGTCATCAGGATGTGATATATGAAATATTTATGATATACGTAGAGCTCCAATAAATAGCTATTTAAATCAGATATATATATATGTAAGCAACTTTCTAGAAGTAATGATTTCACTTACCACCACATTCAGAGATGTTACTTTTAGAAGGACATAAAATATTACTGCTTTATGATCTCTGTCAGGAGATGGATGTATTTTATGAAGAATAAAAGAAAGGCTAAAGATATAGCTTGTGGCTTGTTTGCAGCAATGCAATCCAAGCAGCAGGGTGAATAAGGTAAAAACAGAAAATTCAATTGATAGCCAACAATTTCTAAAGAAAATTACATTTATACAGAAGATGTGCACAGAATGTCAAGAATCCTTAAAGGAAAGCTGAATTATGCAAAACAAAAGTATAAAGATTAAAACACTGTGCTGATTCAGTATGCAAGAGAACCAGGTCTACTATTTAAATGGTGAAGCGAGAATGCAAATGATAGATATTTCTCTAAAGCTCAGAAACAAATAAGTTTTTAAATACATTGATAGAAAAATAATTTGGAGAAGAATTTATTAGGAAGAAAGGAGAAAACTCTTAGTTCTTATGTTTTGAATTCTTTTCTATTTAAGTGAAGTATTTAATCTTTTGAAATATCTCCTAAAATATTAAATCTGATGGGATTCCTCAAGTGTGATAATTGGTTTCTTGACAGTACTCAGAATATAAAACAGTCATTGTTTTGTTTCCTTTTAAATTGTAGACTAGGTCAGCTAAACCAATATAATCAAAAGTTTTGAGAAGTGTATACAAGACATTCATTTGTATGATAAATTTTCCAAAGCACAAATATAACAACAAAATTTGGCATTAACGACTTGAATGTAAAAATTACCACTTTGAAAATCTACTTAGGTTTTCTTTCTACTGAAACTGAAAAAATTCAAACTCTTAGTAATCGTATAATGATATGACTCATAATAACCTAAAGGCAAGTTTAGAAAAAGTCTTTATTAAAGAGCTAATTTATGTGTTTTTAAAATTAATTTCATGTCTACTTCATGAATGTTTACCCCATAGGCATTTAGAATTACTATGAGAATAGAGCTAACTACTCCTCATTGTTGTTATTATGTGTCATGGAGTTTATTTTCAGTCAGAGACCCTATGTACAATAGCTATGAAGCCTGTCCTATCCTGAACCAATCTCACTATCTCCAACACACCTCCCTCATTACCCTAGTTATTCTGTTAACCCACCTCATCCAAGGCTTATTTCTCAGCTACCCATTTATTCAACTTCAAAGTACGGTTGTTGTTGTGTACAACAAAGTCGGTCCCGACCCACAGCTGACCCTCTGGCTGGTTTTCAGAGGCAGTTAATTATAAAGAAGATTGCCCATCCTTCTCCCTTGGAGCAGCAACATCTTGCAACGAGGCCACCAGAGCTCCCTACAATGTACAGTACTTTACCCAGTCCATAAAGTACAATTAGTTTATATGCCTATCTATCAATATTTTTGTGTACCTTATTAGGGTCTTTACAGTATTAGCAGAGTAACACTAAAGACAGAGGGTGGTAGTTTCTTATACCATCTTGATACCCAAATAAAAGTGATAAGCTATATGAAGCAGAACCCTCAACTAGCTGGTTCAGGGGTATAGCATTTATCATTTACTTGTCACTCACATCAAAAAAGTATCTCCTCATTTGCTCTCTTTGAAAATGTCACAATTAATACGTACATTCAACATACTATATTAAAACAGTAGAGATGAACCAATTTGCAAACTGTTTTTTAAACAGGTCCTATCCTGAACCAATCTTACTATCTCCAAAACACCTCCCTTATTACCCAGTTATTCTGTCAATCCAACTAATTCCATTCATAAGCTAGCCCCACTTCAAATCATCTTTGTACTAGGTCAATGTACCATTTATTCAGAACTCAATTATCTAACCATGTCAGAAAGCAAAGAGTTACATTTCTGGGATCTTAAGATGCACCAGGCTTAGAGAAAAGCCAAGTGCAAGTTGAAATCAGACAAATCCTACCTCCATCAGTCTTTCATCTTCATTTACACCATCAGGAAAGTGGGTTTAGCTATTCAAATATTCTTGTGAAGATTTAGTAAAAGGAGTACTAAGATTATGAAATTATACTTAAATAATTATTATTAAACAATGTTTATATTATATTAGCATTGTTGCTGTTGTTATGTGCCATCGAGTTGCTTGCGACTCATAGAGACCCTATGTACAACAGCCCTAAACTCCGCTCTGTCCTGCACCAATCGCACTGTCTCTGACACACCCATCCCAATTACCCCAGTCACTGAATCAATCCACCTCAGAGGACCTTCCCCTCCTGCGCTGTCCCTCCAACCTACCAAGCATGATATCCCTCTCCAAGGACCGGTCTCTCCTTACAACATGTCCAAAGTATGTTAGATGGAGCCTCAGAATCCTTGCCTCCAGGGAGCCGCCCGGTTTAACCTTCTCCAGGATGAATCTGTTTGTTTTCCTAGCAGTCCATGGTACATTCAATACTCTTCTCCAGCACCACAGCTCAAAGGCATCAATTCTCCTTCTATCCTCCTTAGTCATTGTCCAACTCTCCGATGCATAACAAGTGATTGCAAAGACCATGGCCTGTATCAGATGCACCTTAGTCTCCAGAGAGACACCATTGCTCTTGAGTACTTTAGAAAGGTCCCTAACAGAAGACTTTCCCATGGTAATACGCCTTTTAATTTCCTGGCTACTGGTGCCAAGAGTGTTGACTGTGGAGCCAAGCACACTAAAGTTAACAATCTCAGTCTCTTCACCATCCCTCCTGATGCTGTCAATATTATTATTATTAATTTTATTATTATGTTTAAACAATGTTTAGTACAAAGTATGCATATAAGTGAACTTCCTCTTCTCTGAATGTCCCACACAGTAAGAATCAGGGAACCAAAACTTGAAAATAAAACCTCTACTCTAAAAGTCTACATGCTAATATTAATGCATTTCCCTAATCTGTAAGCCATGATTCACTTAGAATCTTTTTACTAATTATACATATTACAATTGGTAAATCTAGAGAGAAAATAAAAGTGAGGATTAAAGTCATGCAGACTGCCGAAATAGTGTAGTGGTAGAAATAAGACAAAAACCAATAAAGACCAGAGATCTCAAAAACATAACCACCTGGTCTCTCACGAGTGTAACCTGTTACCATTGAATCGATTAGCAGTTCATGGCAACCCTATGGGACAGAGCAAAAAATGTTTGTCTCCTCCAGTGGTAAATCCAAGCTGCCAACCTGAGGACATTAATGTATCATATTCAGTAACTGATACTCAGAATGATACTGAGTCATAAACGGAAAAAATCCAACTACATCTGTGTGACCTTCATGGATCTGCAAAATCCAAGTAATCCAGAAGAAACCTCTTTCCATTTGAAAGTATCACACTAAATAAATGAAGTTAGAGATGGGAAAGATTAGAATCACAAAGGCTCGGCTCATTTAAAACATCCATCCAACTAGTCTGCTCCAAGTATTCTAAATTACTTTTAGAATTTTTTGACAATTCTTTTATCTAAAACACGATCTGAAAAAGCAAAAGTTGTAAAAAAAAAAGTATGACAAGATTAAAATAGACTCCTCAAATCTGCATACACACGAGCACCTTCTATACATCATTAATAGACCGTTAACTGCAGTGTAAAGTGTTTATATCAAGTCAGGAGGTAGAGGAGTAAGTATACCCCAGCACAGCTACAAACTTCCCTTCTTTGTAACAAAATAACACATTGCCATTAAGTCAATGCTGACCAAAAGAGATCCTATGTATTAGAAGAGGGAGCTCTGTGGCCTAGTGATAAGGAATTTCACTATCAATCCAAAGGTGCAAGGTTTGAATCTAACACCCAGTGCACAGAAAAAAGATGGCCAATCTTACATGTGAATTACAGCCTTTAAAAACCTGCTGGAGCGTAATCTAAGAGTGGGTCTGATTCAAGTGTGCATAACAAGTGTTAGGGAGTATAATAGATCCAAAGGGTATTTTTGGCTGTAATTTTTAAGGATGCAGATTATCAGGCACTTCTTCTAAAGCACTTTCAGATGAGGTAGAACTGCCAAGCATTGAGTAATCCAACTAGAAAGAAATTAAAAATCCACCTACAAAACCACCAAACAGTAACAACAACAAAACCCAAATCTTATTCACTATCCCAGGACTTTACATTCCTCTGAGGATTCAAATCATGCAGCTTAAGTAAAACTTTTTTGTTCTAATGTATATACTTGGGGAGGTGGGGTGGAAGGACAGGCTGTTTTAGGGTAAAAAGAAAGCCTTTAGAAGATTCTGGGTCAGTGTGAATTCACAGAAAGAGACATTTTAAAAATATTCCTATAAATACCTATCCTTCTGGCATGTTCACCTTTGATAAAAGGGTTTACTATTTTAAAAACTGGTAACCAAAAAGTCATTTTTAGGGAGCTCTGGTGGCCTAATGGCAGAAGCGGTGCTGCAATCACAAAGACACGTGGTTTGAATCCATCAGATGCCTCGCTGGAGAAGTAGGGGCAATCTCCTCCTCTGCGAGTCGGATCCAACTCAAGACAACAAGGGGAAAAAAAGGCCATTTTTTTGTTTTATCTAAAAAGCTTATTTAACACAGTAATCTTTAAACAAATTGCTTACAACTATTTTAATTTTAATGTGACCAAATTTAATGAGATCTCACAGTAAATATCATTTTGCTGATTTAATAAATTCTTTTAGGTTAATAAATGGTTTTCATTCTACATTTCACAAGGACCACAAGTCACAAATATGAAAAAATAATGACCTCATACTTATGTAAGAAGGAGACTTACTCTTTAAATTTTATGAAATATGTTCTTTTCGTGTTCTACTCATTGCATGTGTGTTTATTTACAAGATTAACAGTCATTGAAATATTAACTGCTTATAATCAAGGGCATGGACTACTTGAATGCTAATCCCATCTCCACTACCTGCTAGCTGGGGGACTAGAGTAAGTAATTATTACTGAATCTTAATATTCTTATCTATAAAGTGGGGGAAACAACAGTACATAACTTCAAATATAGCTAAGAGAATTAAGTTATTAAAGAAAGGACTTAGAAGACTACATAGCCCAAGTAAGGACCATAGAAAAGTTAGCTATTAGTGTAAATCATAGTTTTGTCTTCAGTAAAATTTTTTAAATGGCATTTTATTCTAAAAAGCACATATTTTAAAAGTCGCTTTCTATTTATTTTACTTTTTTTGGTTGTAGCTAAATTTTTAGTATCTAGTTAAAACTACAAGGGCTTTTTGTTCGGAATCTGACAATAGTTTCATTCTATTCCGTCAACTTCTACATTAAGTATCTAATTAGTATTATATTACGTTCTGGTTGTTTTTGTGTTGGTTTTTTTTTTTTTTCTATTGCTATGTTTTTTCCTATCTCTAGGGGTCTCTAGTGCACAGTGATCCAGTATGTAGTCCCTGAAGTATGCAATTTATAGTTTAATTGAGAAGAAAAGATAATAGAATGAAACCCACCTACAGATATCAACTCTTAACTTATAGGGACCCATAAGGACACAACAGAAGTGCTCCACAAGACTTACGAGTTTATAATCTTTACAGAAGCAGATTACTACATTTCCCCACATAAATGTGGCTAGTAAAGCAACTAATTTTTCAGTTTAGCAGCTAAGTAATTAGTAGTACTGTCAGGAGCTCTGATAGCCTAGCAGTAATAACACGCACTGCCAAACCAAAGGCACCCTGTTCAAATACAGCAGCTGCTCCACAGGAGAAAGACAGGCTGCCTCTCTGAAAACCTGCTGGAGGGTTAGCTACAAGTCAGTTCCAAATCACCAATACACAACAACAACAGCCACAATTAACCCTGTACCACTTGATCTCTTTAGAGGATGAGACAATGTTATATATTAAAGAAAATTCCATGTTATATATTATAACAACACACATGTCATTTAGAATTTCAGCTCACATGATATCCTATTAATGCTTATGGGAGAAGAGCAGGCAGAGATGAGCACAATCTATGTTGGGAGGCACGGAGGGTAGAGCACTAAAACAACAGAGAGTGGAACAAGACTGGAACATGGACAAGTCGGGCTTTGGAGTTTAGGATCTTTTTTGGCAAACAAAAGATCTTTTTGGTAAGCAAAAGGTAGCAATAATTAGTTTCTTGGGAAAAAAATAAAGGTTACTTTAGATGCGTTATGCAAAATAAAGTGGAAGAGAGTTGAAATTGGAAGTAAGCAGCTCAATTATAACTCAGTAAAAGAAAGATGGCAACACAAACACATAAATGAGGAAGAGGGAACAGAAGATGCAAAAATTTTAAGTGAACATTACTAAAGGCTTTTGAATATCCACTTCCTGTTCCTCCATCCTAACAACGCTCACTTTTCTCTTACACTGCTTATATGCCTGTTGTTGTTGATTGCCTTTGAGTTGAGCATGACTAATAGGGACCCTATGAACAAAAGGACTGAAGCCCCTTTACAACTATCAACATTTATCAAAGTTTATAGAGTTTCTGGAGGTATGTGGTTTAGGAAGTGGATGCCACTCCTGTCATAGTATGTTATTGTTGTTATGTGCCAGTGAATCTCCTGCGATGTATAGAGACTCTATGTACAGCAGTTCTGAATCTCTCACTTTGCTGAGCCATTCTCACTAATTTCAACACACCAGCCCCCATTGCCCCATTCACTGTATCAATCCATCTCATCTGAGATCTTCCTCTCCTGCACTGTCCCTCCACCCTGAGAGGTAACTAATCACATACTTGACTTCAGAGTGGCTAAAATTAATTGGAAAGTATTCTGATATTCTTTGACATGGATTGGCTCAGAAATCAACAGGCGACCTATACCTGAACCTGGGAGAGGCCAAGGACGGAAGTGTAGAGACCGTACGAAAAAGTTTTTCTTTCTACTTCTGAGAGGTTTCCTGGATGTGGCGCTAAGCAGCAAGTGGTTCTAACTGGTGCCCAAGAACAGCCTGTGACTGTGAGGAAAGCTGCCTGGACATACAGCCACTGTAGACAGCAAAGCAGATAATGAGAAGAACCAGGGATTTTAAGACCCTGCTGAAATGCCAGATTCACCACCAACCGAGAAAGGGCTCAGTTATGGTAACCAGTGAATTCTCTTCATCCTTGGTTTTTCAAAGGACCCAGGGTGATGCACGTGGCTGTTCACTGCTCAGTTCAAGTCGAACAGCCTCAGAAACCCTCTATCCTATAGGAGCAAGAGCAGTGGGTGTTGTGTTTTGATTTATTTAGTCTTAGGTAGCATTTCTGTCTGGATATGAAAGTGTGCTAAAATAATAGCAAGGTTCTGAGACTGGATATTAAAAATGTTGAGAACACAACAGATGTAATAACGGAAACTTATATCCAAAGTTAACTTATGCTAACTTTCTTAGAAATTTAGATATTTATGCTTGTACAGTTAGAGCATATTTAAAGAACCAATATTCTTATTCTCTAGCTAAAAAAAATACTGTCCTGATCTTGCAGGGCTAGCTTCATGAGGAGAAAATGGAGAAGAGCTCAGGCTATATTCCATATGGATCCTGGTACTGCATGCATTTCACAACCTCCAATTCTAGATCCTTGTCTGTTGCTGTCAAAGAAACTGGTTGCATGATTCTTTATTTTTTTGAGGCACACAGTTTAAATCCACCAGCTGCTTCATGAGACAAAGATGAGTAACTTCTTACTGTGCGATTTAATGCTTCTAAAAATCTCCTGAAGGGTCAGCTATGAGTCAGTTCAGACTCAATGGCACTGAACAACAACATCTTTTTAAAAATTGGTTTTAGCATTGTATTTACAAGTTCCTTATATGAAAACTGATGCTTCAATTTATTTCGTTTTTAGGAATCATAGACACTTCAGTTACTACTAAACTTCTGCAAAAGACTATGTTCCCTGACTTTAAATCTGAGGATCTGGTCCAGAACTGTTTTTTCTAGCTGCCAAACTCAGCTTATCTTGCTGCAACTAAATCCTAACACAGAGTACACTGAAATCTTAAAGAAATTCTAATTTCATATCACATTTCTGAACATAGCAAAAATTATTTTAAATGTTATATGTATATGAAATTAGTGTATAACTACTATATTGGTCTCACTGATTATCTTATTATTTTAAAATATAAGTAGTCAATAAACTATTAATTTATTTTTGCAAGTTTTAATATCTTCATAAGGTAGAATAAATTTAAATAAAATTACAGGATAATGACACTAAAATTAGTACTTTATAAAGTGAGAATCACTCAAATACAGGAATTTTAAATTAAGTAAAATTCTCATTAAGATACTTCAACTATATCAAATTATAGGTAGTAGATGTCTCTTTACAAAGAAAGAATTTTCCCCCAATATATTCATTTAATGTCATAGTCACTGAGATAGTTTACCTGATACTCCAGCTTCATGACTTTTCTCTTCAGCTTTGCCATTTGACTTGACAGTTCTTTGCTCATCCACCTCGCCATCCCCCCACCACGATGGCTGACCATACAGTGGAGTACCACGAGGCATAGCAAAAAATATCTGAAAGGGGGGGGGGGGAAATTATCTAAAGCAGATGAAATATATGAAAAAATATTTTTGAGGATTGGTAGTACTGCTTTATTCATTATTAAATGGGGGGGGGGGGAGAAAGAAAAAAACCAAATACTCAGCCTGGGCGGCTGGCTGAAAAGAACTCTAAGTTAAAAAAAAGTATTATCTAGGAACTATCACTATCTGACATGACTAAATAAGTTAAAATCTGCACCAGCAAGAACATAAGCAATGCAACTTGGTGTTGATGACTTTTCCTTAACACGTTGCCACACACTTAAATTGATGACTATGCTTAGAAACATATTTTTTTTTTGCCGTCATTTGCGGCAACGTGTTAAAGTGTTCATTTCTTCACAAAGAGATAGAAACATTGGTCTTTCAAGGTGGTTTTCTTACCTGTGGCTTTCTCCTCACACTTTACAGCATCGGGAGCTTTGGGCTGCACTTCCACTGCAGCATCTGCAACCTTTGAGTCTATGGTTTTGGCACACGCAGACTTTGATACTTCTGGATCTGAAGATTTCTGGGACAGCTGAAGCTGAATGGTAAACTTCTCATGCTATAAAACATTTAAAAATGGAAGTAACCATCCACGGATGAAATCAATCCCACTCAATGGTAGGATTACAAAATTTTTTAAAAACTTACCTTTAGAGCTTCTTCAGGAACCCTCATCTCTCCTCGTACAACAGTGAAGAGATTTGTATGTAAACAGGGCTAAGGAAGAATATAGCTTCACAATCCTGGTAATTAAGCTTAGAAAAACTATTAAAGATTATTTTAAAATCTTTTCAAGTTTACTACTTTTAACAGGTAATTGAAAAAGAATCACTATATTCCTTTAATGGTAACACTTTTTTTTAAATGCTTAAAATACTTATTTTTTAATCTTTTTATTTGAAAGTTTAGAGACTATGGATTTCCATTCATTCATTGTTGCACACTTTCCTCCCTGCCCACCTCACCCCCAGTTTGCTTTTCTCTTTGAAAAGAAAAATTCTTTCATTGTTATACAATCCCCTCCCCCCCAGTCCACTCCACTATGCAGCTTTCATTATGGATTCTTGTCATGACAATAATACCTAATTATATATTCCCCTAAATAATTCTCGTCCTCATTTGTTTCAATGCAGTATACATTATTTATCCCCTCTTATTTTCTCCCTAATTCTGATGTCAGTCCCACTTTACAACAGTGGCCCTATGCAGTATTTGTCCTTTTGTGACTGAGATATTTCACTCAGCATGTCCTTCAGGGTCACCAATTTTGTATATTTCATGAGTTCCTTGTTTTTCAATGCAGCATAGTATTCCATTGTGCGAATATACCACAGCTTCTCTAGCCATTCGTTTGTTGATGGACACTTAGGTTGTTTCCAAATCCTTGCTATTGTGAACAAAGCCGCAATAAACATGGATGAGCATATATCTGCTTGGGTGGCAGTTCTTGTTTCTTTAGTGTATATTCCCAGTAGTGGAATTGCTGGGTCAAATGGTATTTCTATTTGCAACTTTTTGAGAAAACGCCACACTACCTTCCATAGTGGTTGCATACATTCACAACGTGGTACTGATACAATGACAGACACACAGATCAATGAAATAGAATTGAGAACTCAGAAATCAGCCCATCCACCTATGGTCAATTGATTTTTGACAAGGAGATGAAATCAGTTAAGTGGGGAAACGATAGTCTTTTTAACAAATGGTGTTGGCAAACTTGGAAAACTATTTGTAGAGAACTCAAAGAAGATCCAAAGCTGACTCCATACATAAAAAACAAATCAAAGTGGATCATGGGCCTAGGACTAAAACCAAGGAATATAAACGTCATTAGAGTAAAGCTTGGAAGGACTCTAGAAGCCCTAATCTACAACATGAACAGTCGTTCAAGCATCCTGAAAAACCTATAACCAGGAGAAGATAAAATAGAAGAATGGGACCTTCTAAGAATAAAATCCCTTTGCACATCTAAAAACCTCTCCAACAGGGTACAAAGGGAAGCCACAGAGGGGGAAAGAATATTTGGTAATGACATGTGTGATAAGGGACTTATATCTAGAAAATTTCATTTTTAAATGTTTAAGAAAGCACTCTTAACATTCAGCAAGCATTTCTAAACCTTTGGGGTAAGTTTTCCACAATCAACACCCTTGATACCAGCAGGCAGAAATCAAAACACCTTGACACCAGCAGGCAGAAATAAAAAAAACTCTGCTGTCAGGGACCTCTCCAAAGTGCTGAAGAGCAAAGAGGTCAGTTTGAAGACTAAAGAACACCAGATATAAACCATAATCTTTTCAGTTATTTGCTATGCCACTGTAAGGTGGACAATGACTAGGGATGACAAAAGCAGCAGTGATGCCTTTAAACTGGGGCAGGAGAGTGTTGAGTAGTATCACACGTACTATCAAAAGGACAAATATGTCTTGGAAAAGGTGCAGTTACAATGCTTCTTGGAGACAAGGATAGTGAAACTTCACCTCACCTTACATATTTTGGACATGCTGTTAGGAAGGGCCAGTTCTTGGAAAAGACATACTGTGAAAGTGAAGGATCAGCAAACAAGGGGTAGACTCTCAGGAAGCTAGACTGACAGCGGCCTGTAATGGTGGGGTAGATGGTGTCAGAGATGGTCAGGATGGTACAGGCTAGGGCAGGGTTCAGACCACTGCTCATGTGGTCACTATGAGTTGTAGTGACTTGACGGTACATAACAAAAATGATGGGAAAGCACTGGGATCTAATTATGTGGCAGGTACTCTCAGGTAGCTTACTCCAAGGGAGTTGTGCTGCCAGCTATCTGTGGGGGAAAGAGGAGCAATCTATTCCTGTCAGATCTACTGCCTCTGAAAACGTGCTGGAGGGTCAGCCAAGAGTCGGTTCCCACATGATAGTAATAAGTTTGAGGATTTTTTAAAATCATACAAAAGTGAAAGGTCATATATCATCAGTGAGAATCCAGTATTAAATCTTGAAAAAGTTCTGATTATTCACAAATTGATCTGATAAAATGAAGCTCATCTTTCAAGTTGCTAGATGAACACTATCATCAGAGCTCTCAAAGTAACAACCACCTCTTTCCACCAAAAAATTAGCAGTCATGTGACATTATTAAACAATTAATCCTATACAGAGCAGAACCAAATAAAGTGAATGCTTTCATTAGTAAATGCAAAAGAACAATGGTTCTATTTACTACGAAAGAATCTATTCACTACAGCGTAGATGTCCTATTTCCCACTAATACTTAACCCTGTCATAAAAGGAATTCTTGTAACTATGTACTTGTGTCTTTCGTTGCCCATTCAGGGCACCCATTACTACAAGGGTGGTTACTCTGGTTTTCGTTAGATGCTCCTAACTCAGTTCTACTTCGCAAGGTCTCTACATTTAACAGAATAAAACATATTCTAATCTGTGTAATCTTCAAAGCTGTCACTAAGTTTGAGCTCCTTGATGAGAGAGTCCTTCTTTTCCTTGTTGACCCTCTAATGTGCCAGGCATAATGTTCGTTCAGAAGGGGCAGGACACTACTGATAACATGTCTAATGTTGTTAGGTGTCATCAAGTCAACTATGACTCATACTATGATCCGATGAACAACAGATCTGAACCTTACCCTATACTCTGCCATTCTCCTGATCTCTGATGTATATGTACAACACTGGACATTTTGAACCAATCAATCACGTGTTCTACCAAGCAGAAAATAAAAAGGAACAGTGTCATATTTATAATAGAAAAGAACATTTCAAGATAGCTCCTGAAGTACTAAGCTGTGAGTGATGGAATGATACTTATTCTCATATGAAGAAGACCAATTATTATGACTATTATTAAAACATACACACCAACCACCAAAGCCAAAGAAAATGAGGATTTGTGCTAACTTCTGCAATCTGGGAAGAAAATATAAAGAAAAAATTCCAAGAGAGCCAAAATACAACACTGAGTTTATCCCAACTAATGTAAACCCACCTCAAAAACAGAGGTAACACCCATGGTATCAGCAGTCAAGAAAATCTGCTATTAAAGACCTCTTCAGAATACAAAAAGGGTATCAGTTTTGAGAGTAAGGTGTGGCTGACACAAATTATAGTCCTTTTCAACTGATTCATACATCTGTTAAAGTTGGACAATGAATAATGAAGATCAAAGAAGATGTGATGCTTGGGAACTGTGATGCTGGCGAGGAGTATGGACTATACCATAGACAGGCAAAAAGAACACCTTTGAGGCAAAGATCATGAGACTCACTTGTGTACTTTGGGCATGTTTTCTGCAAGGTTCAGTCCTTGGAAAAGTAAAGGAGAGAAAGACCCTCAATGAGATGGGCCGACAGTGTGACTACTACAATGGGCTCAGGCATTGCAGAGACTGTGAGGATGACGCAGCACAGGGCAAGGTTTCGAGCACATGAGATCAATAGTAAGTATATGAAATGAAATAATAAAGATAGCGTAAATCAAACTTTGTTGTTGTAATGTGCCATCAAATCATCTGTGATTCATAGCGACCCTATGCACATTAGCTCTAAAACCTGCCCTATCCTGAGCCCATCTCGTCTCCGACAGACCTAATCCCATTTCACCAGTCACTGAGTCAATCTATCTTTTGCTGTCCCTCCACCCTTCCAATTATGATGTTCCTCTTTAAGGACTGGTCCTTTCTGGTCACATGCCCAAATTATGTGAGCAGGAGCTTCAAAATCCTTGCCTCCAGGGAGCAGTCTGATTTCACCCTCTCTAGGACAGACCTGCGTTTTCTCCTGGCAGTCCACAGAATAGTCAACATTGTTCTCCAGCACCACAACTCAAAGGCATCAATCCTTCTTCTATCATCTTTAATTACTGTCCAGCTCTCGGATGCAAAAGCATCAGAAATACAATATAGAAACCACAATTACACCAAAAGCTAGCTGAAAAGTGTCTTCCTATTTTCCGCACCAAACCTAACCCCCCACATAAGTAAATAATGAGCTCCATTTGACCGCATAGCCCTGTTTAGGGGAAAATCTTGGAACACATCCTCAATGCTTTTCTCTCATTTCTACAGTCAATCTTACTGATCACATCCATAACTGCAAGATTCTAGCTTTCCTTACCTCCACTACTATTCATTCTATTGTTATGTGCCAGCAAGCCAGAATTGACTGATAGCTGACCCTCCAGTGGATTTTCAGAGGCTGTAATTCAAATGCTAGAAGGCTGCCCATCTTTTGCCATGGAGATGCTAGTACATTTGAACCATGTGCCTTTGGGTTGGCAGCACAGCTACAACCAATATATGGGTATATAGACATAGTCTACATCACAGTTCTCAAGCATCACATCTTCTTTGATCTTCATTATTCATTGTCCAACTTTAACAGACGTATGAACAAGTTGAAAAGGGCTATATTTTGTGCCAGCCACACCTTACTCTTTAAACTGATATCCTTTTTATATTCTGAAGAGGTCTTTAATAGCAGATTTTCTTGACTGCTCTTACCATGGGTGTTACCTCTGTTTTTGAGGTGGGTTTACATTTAGTTGGGATAAACTCAGTGTTGTATTTTGGCTCTCTTGGAATATGTCACCAGGCATATAGACACAATCTCCATCTTCATTACTGCTTACTTATTATATAATAGCCGCCTAACTGATGTGTCAAATGTAATAATGGTCACCCATAGTAGACAGTGTTTGGTGGAGCTCACAATTAAAACAGGCTTGGAAGCAGGAGTGGCATCCACTTCTGAAACAGCTTGCCTCTGGAGACTCTATGAACTTGGAGAAACAATGAAAGTCAAATTAAGTGTTCAGGTTTTCCATTCACAGGGTTGCTAGCAGTGGTCTACAACTCGATGCCACTAACAACTGATCTTTGTTTTTCCATTCTTGCCTACTTTGCCTTTAGACATTTTTCAACAAGAAAAGATGGGCACAGTAAGCATGTAAGTCAAATTTTGTCACTCCTCTAATCAAAACTTGCCAATGGCTCCATTTCACACAGAACAAAAAGTAAAATCCTTATAACTTGAAAACTCAACTCACAGTTACTTACTGCTGTCGAGGGAGTTCCAATTTGGTGGCCTTCCTCTGGGTGTCAGAGGCTGTAATGGTTAAAAGGAGGCTGCCCATGTTTCTCCCACAGAGATGTTTGTGGATTTGAACTTCCAGAGACATGAAGCTTTTTGGCTGGCAATGCAACACACTATGGAATAACTCACCAGAGGTCTTGATGGTCCCTGAGGCTCATATATTGTTCCTAACACCCTTACTCCTAACTTTCCCAGCTCCAGCTCCAAAGGCTACAAATGCCGTTTCTCAAAGATGGCATAAATGCTCTTGCTTAAAGTCTTTTACTTAGGTATTCGATCTACTTGAAAAGCTCTTTTTCTTGATTTCTATATAGTTAGTTCTTTCACTTTTCCTACTCCACATCTTCACTCCAATCCTGGCTTCTCAATGAACTAGTCCATGATTATTGTTTTAAAGTCTAACTTTTCACTCTCCACCTGCCAATATGCAGATGACACAACCCTGCTTGTCAAAAATTACAAACTCTTGAAACACTGATGAAGCACAAAGATGGATTCAAAGATAGATTCAAATATTAATTCAGTATGAATTACATTTTAGCAAAAGGAAAATAAAAATTCTTATGACTGGACCAATATAAATGATGTCATGAAGAATGGAGAAAAGACTAAAGGTGTCAAAAGATTTCATCTTCCTCAGATCCACAATCTTTAGCTATAGAAATGTTAAACAGCAAGGATGTCACTTTAAAGACAAATAAGCACTTGATAAAAGCAAGCCCTAGCATATTTAATTGCTTCTAATGCACCTGAAAGTTGGACAATGAATCAGCACAGTTCGAGTATTCCTTAGAAGCAAGTATAATGAAACTTAATCTCACATATTTATAGCATGTTATCTGGATGGGCCAGTTGCTGGAGAAGGACATCATACCTGGCAAAGTGAAGAGTCATCAAGAAAAGGGAGGATCTCAGCAAGGTGGACTGACCCAGTGAAAGCAAAAATGAATGGGATTAGGCACTGTGGAGAAGATAAGGCTGGCCAGGGCTTCCTTCTGGTGGACATGGGGTCACTAGGAGTTGGGCCTGAGACCACTCTCCACCACTAGCTCTCTGCATGGCCCTTTGCATACTTTTCCCCCATAGCACTTGTTGTTAGGAGTCAACAAGTTTTGACTCATAGCTGACCTGTCAGCATGTTTCCAGAAACTGTAAACCACACAGGAGTTTATCTAGCTTTCTCCTGCAGAGCAGGTAGATTTGAACTCTGTGCCTTCAGAGTAGTAGAGAGATTCTTTGCCACTAGGCCACCAGAGTTCTCCTCTCCATGATCAAACTTTTGCTGGTTTCCTCTGCTAGCTATTAAGTGTCATCCTCACAAGGACAGGGCTGTGTGTCAGCTTCACTCATGACCGCATTCTCATACCACTGGTACTATCTGTGGTACACAGAACATATTTAATAAATGACAGCTTTGCTCATCTGCTACATGTTTGTCCACTTGGAGTTACTAGTTTTTTTCTCAAGCTTATTTTGATTGCTGTAGCATTTTATTAAAGTTTAGAGCCACTTTAAAAACTGGCGTATTTCATGCAATAGTTGCTTTAATAAATTATAATTTAATTTCTTTGATTCAACCCCTCAAACTTTTGCCATACAAATTTTAATTTTTATTTCTAATCTCATTCCACTGTGAAATGTTCTTTTTGTTGTTGTGGCAAATTAATAAATTGTTTTTCAGGTATGAGGATAGCAACCTAGTGAGACACAAAATAGTACAATGTGTCTTGACAACCAAATGAGTCTCTGAACATCAATGAAAAGATAAGAGAGTCTAATAAGGTTCTGATACAAAGAAAAAACTGAATGAAAAGAGTGAATGAGAAGCAACAGTGGTTCTTGCCTGCTGCCAAACTGCACAGGGTGGCTATGAGACAAAGCAAGCAAGCAGCAGGCCCAGACAAGGAATACATGGAGCTTTATGGCCACCCACAGGACAGAGACAGAGTGAAGACAAGGCAGAGGGCACACATGGAGCAGGACACCCATTAGACTTAAGGAAGGAAAATGCAGGAAGTTAAGAGGCAGCATGAGGGACCAAGACACCAGAGATTCTTCATCTACCTTACAGTCATGTCCCTGTTCACCTAACCTGAGTCCTGCTTTTAAATAGAAGAACTTCCAAAACACACCTAAGGTAGAAAACACTTTATCAAGGAGGCTGAGTTGTAGAAGCCACAGGACAATGAAAAGCTTGGACAAAAGAGCTCACAAAAGACGTAAAGCTGGAGGTTGACACAAAAGTAGTTTCAAATTATTACATCCCTCCCAGGAGTTTGATTTGTGCCACAGTCATTCATGTGAGAACAATCTTCGGGTTGGGCTAAAATGGAACATCCCCTTGCTATCTTCCCGTTTATACATTTGGATACCCAAATTACATATAAAAACGGTACTCCAGAGATATCTCTGTGAAAACGTCATCAATTCAGAGTACATATAAAAAGGCTAAGTGCCTCAATTTTTCTAAGGTTTTTTTTTTTTTTTTTAAGGAACAGGCATAGAAATTAAATATTTAAACATTAATACAGGAAGGCACTCAATAAACAGAGAATTCTGGCCTATCTATATTAGTAATTCAAGATAAGTTAATTTTATTAAAGATATTTTACATCTGGCCCATTTGCTCCATCCCCCTCTCCTCGCTCCCCTTCTCTCCTCCATTTTCTCCTTTCCCCTTCTCCCCCCTCCCTGGCCGCCCTCTCTTCTTCCACCTCTCCTTCCTACCCGCCCCCCCCCATGGGAGCCACCAGTTTGGATTAGCTGGGGGCCACCACTGGCAGCGGGGGAGGGGGTCCCATGGACTTCCCTTTCCTCCCGCCCCAGCCACACCACCACCCAGTGCCTGAGCATCTCCCACTGTCGTTTGTGGGCCTCAAGGAAGCCCAGCCCTCCGTCCCACCAGGATCCGTGGCAAGTGGGGGCCGCAGTAGCTGAATTCCCATGAGGAAGGGAGGAAGATGCCAGCTGAGTGCTGCTGCTTGTTGCCTTTGCCAACCCCAGCTGCCAGGTGCTGTCATCACTGCATATGGCTGCCATCCTGGATGACCAGACAGTGTATGGCCGTGGAGAGCATCTGGCCCTTGCCCAAGAGCAGATTAATGGGATCATCAAGGTTCCTGCCAAGGCCCGAGTGGAAGTAGACATCTTTGAGCTGCAGCGGGACAGCCAGTATGAGACCACAGACATCATGTGTCAGATCCTGCCCAAGGGGGTTATGTCTGTCCTGGGGCCCTCTTCCAGCCCTGCTTCTGCCTCCACTGTGAGCCATATCTGTGGGGAGAAAGAGATCCCCCACATCAAGGTGGGCCCCGAGGAGACATCCCACCTTCAGTACCTTCGCTTTGCATCAGTCAACCTGTACCCCAGCAATAAGAGGTCAGCCTGGCAGTGTCCTGAATCCTCAAGTCTTTCAACTACCCCTCAGCCAGCCTCATCTGTGCCAAGGCTGAGTGCCAGCTGCGATTGGAGGAGATGATGCGAGGCTTCCTCATCTCCAAGGAGACACCATGAGTCTGGATGCTGGATGACAGCCGGGACCCCATGCTGCTGCTCAAGGAAATTCATGACGATAAGGTGTCCAGCATCATCAGCTATGCCAATGCATCCATCTCCCATTTCATTCTCTGCAAGGCCTCAGAACTGGGAATGACCTCAGCGTTTTACAAGTACATCCTCACCACCATGGACTTCCCCATCCTGCATCTGGACGGCACTGTCTAGAAGAGTCCTTCAACATCCTGGGCTTCTCCATGTTCAACACCTCCCATCCCTTTTACCCTGAGTTTGTCCTTAGCCTCAACATGTCCTGGAGGGAAAATTGTGAAGCCAGCACCTATCCAGGCTCTGCGGTGAGCATGTCTCCTGTGCCCAACACAGACCCCAAGCCACACCCAGAGGCACACGCATGAAGCCCTTTCCAACTTCAGTTTGATCACATTCAGGACCCTCCAACTTTCCAGTTAACTCTCAGTAGAAATGCCAGCAGGCCTCGCACCGGGCCAAGTCCAACCTGAATGCAGGGTCGTTCTCTCCACTGCCCCTACGCCCCACCCACATGGACCTCCTTGATGCACACCTGCCCAGGTACTTGTGTGCCTCAGGGCCTTTGCATTTACTCTTGTTTAAAATGCATTTCCTGGAGAGGCAGTGGCTCTCTTCATATATCATCCAGCCTTTAACCAGGTGGTTGTTCCCTGGTCTCTCTAAATAAAGAAATTACAAGCCTCACACTTTTTAGCCCCCTTCCCTACCTGATTTTTCTCCTTGTTTATCTACTTGCATGTGGCTTACCCTTACATTTTGCTTACGTACATACACACATAGATTGTAAGTTCTATGAGGACAGGGGTTTTGGCCCACTTTGTTCACCATCTTCCCCTCATCTAACACATATTCCTAGCATCTAACACAAACCCCGGCTCATAGTAGATGTCCAATTATGTATACGGAATAAATGCACCTCTGTAAGAATGAAAAAAAAATTTTCATCTGTAATAAATGTGTAAAATCATAGAAGGATATCATATCCAAATCTCAGCTTATCTTCAAGTTTCAGGGTGATATATGTTTGTTCTGGAATCCTTACATCATTCACAAAAGTCTACAAGAAAGAAAAAGATATCAGATTACATAAGAAATATTATTTTTTATACTTAAGATGAAAATTTTTCACACTTGATGCTTCAGACTACACAGCATATAGTGTCTAATACAATTCAAATAGCTTTAAGATATTTCAAGTAGGTGCAACCACTGTGGAAGGCAGTATGGCACTTTCTCAAAAAGTTGCAAATAGAGATAACATTCGATCCAGCGATTCCACTACTGGGAATATACCCCAAAGAGACCATAAGTGACATCCAAGCAGATATATGCACACCCATGTTTATCGTGGCTTTGTTCACCATAGCAAGGAGTTGGAAACAACCCAGGTGCCCATCAACAAATCAATGGAATACTATACTGCATTGAAAAACAAGAAACTCATGCAATATTATTCAAAATGGGTGACCCTGGAGGACATTATGCTGAGTGAAATATCTCAGTCACAAAAGGACAAATACTGAATGGTGCCACGGTTATAGAATGGGACTGATATCAGGGTTGGGGTAAGACTAGAAAAACTAGATAAATTATGTATACTGCATTGAAACAGATGAGGGAAAGAATAATTTAAAAGTGACATATGATAGGGTATTATAGTTATCACAAGAGTCCAGAATTAAGGGTACATAGTGGAGTGTACCTGGGGCAGTGGGAGGGGTGCAGGGGGATTGTATACCAAAGAATTTTTCTTTTACTTTTTCAAAGACAGGAGCAAACTGG